AAGAGCACCTAGCAATTAACTTCTAACTGTTCAGCTGAACCACTCCTCTGAAGACTATGCAGCACTCAAAACACACCCCTACTCAAATGCCTAAGAAAACACAAATAAGATGTGCCAGTGTCCAAAATTTGCAAGCTACTTGGCCACCTACGGGGAGTTGGTCTCAGTGAACAGCACTTCACAACAAAAGCCCCAAAACAGACTACGGGACAGAAGGCATGCATTGCCTTCTCTTGCCAGAATTGCTTTTTCAGCATCAGGCCTCCATTAATAAAGCATCCTTGCAGCAGAAAGCCCAACACACAAATCTCAGCCTAAGTTCCAAGTCAGGGTTGCAGGTACTACACCCCCAGGGTGAGAGGTACTCTCCCACCACTGGGTGGAAAGACAGAGCTCACAGTTCATAGGAGGGGAATCGATTACCCACAGTCACACTCCTCCACACGGATCCACATCGTTTACCTGATTGGCTGCACCATCCCCATACAGTGTGAGACAGACTTCATTTTTACCAAAGTATTTACAGGCCAGCGCAATCCCAGCTCCAAGAGGAACCTATCGCAGAGTACAGGACAAACCGAAAGTTCAGAACAATGTTTAGAGGAGTTGAAGATAGGCGGCTTGTATGTAGAGAGACATTTACACTGTTAGAGATCTGCTCAACAAGTTCTTAACAACCCACCTCCGTTTGTTCCAATATGTATTACAGCCGAAACATAAACATTAACTATATTCTCAATTTGATTCATTTTTGCTACAGTTTACAAAATAGTGAGCAAACCAGATTAAAAATATAACAGATTTAATAGCCACAGAGCAATGGTATCTGCATACAAGCTCACACCACAAAAATGAGAGGAAACACTGGCACAGGACATGAGTCAAATTCAACTTGTGCTTTAAAGTAGAAGTCATGTTTATACCTGAGCACCAACAATACCATTGCCACCATAGAAGTTTTTGGTATACATATGCATTGATCCTCCTTTTCCCTTCACACATCCTCCTTTTCGCCCTGAAAAATGAATAACAAACAATTCTTTTTTTTTTTTGAGGAAAAATGCTATGCAAATGGGAACATCTAATTCAGTTCCTAAAGGCAGTAACACTAAGACCATTTTGTTGTCATTAGATCTATGCAGTGTTAAGATACAGTGGTCTCTCCCCAAAGAGTTTACTGTTAAATATATCACAAAACAAATAAGAGAAGGAAGAAGACAAAGATAATGAAAACATAATTCAGGAAATGCAGAATGAGATTAAGAAGAAATTTTAAAGCCAATCAAGAAGTTTCAGTCTCCTAATATACAAAAGCACTTTCTGATAAATATGGGTGGCCTTTTTTAATAGCCAACATGGTCTATATTTCTGATATAGGTAATGTGGAAGAAGTATATACAGTCCTTATTGCTTTTGGCTTCTGCAAGAAAGATATGAACACTGTTCCAAGTTAGTTGCAATAATCTACACTTGTCTTCCCTGTGACAGTAACCAGAAGTAAAAATTACAGATAGGACATTTAAAACACAAACAAACAAAACAAAAAAACCAACAACTCCCATCCCACCCTGGGATAAACATCAAAAAGTCACCTACCCCAGCTTTACGCAAGCTGCAGTTTGAAGATAACTGGTGGTCCATGAAGCATTACAACAAACCCTATTTAAATGAGCTGATCTAAGAACGCAGAATTTCTCATCAGCCCACTCTGTTCCTTATTCTAATCTCTCTTGTTACTAACCACAGAGGCTTCTATTTTATTTCTAATAAGCACAGCTTGTTTGTTGGGTTTTGGGTTGTTTTGGGGTTTTTTTTGCCTTAGCTTTGGTGTTTATTTTAGAAGCGGAATCTCTCTTCTGGAATTTGTACTTCTCTTTCTTACTTAATTACTGGTCTTTCCTGTACCTTTCATATGCTTATGAATTGGTTTCATGTGAGCTTTTATGGATTCTGCCAGCTAAGGCCAAAGAAAAAAAAGGAAAAAAAAAAAAGATTGTCTAATTTTAATCAGAAAACTATTTTTCTTCAGTGTAATTAAACTTTAGTAATCTCCCTCCACTTTTTGTACAATGCTCTCATGTATTTTATCTATGACCTCCTGATTGAGCAGTGTCACTTCCTGCTATACTTTCTACTTTTCTTACAACAATCAGCTTTGACATCCACAAAACCATTTCTCAGGGAATTGTCAATTCTTCTGAAAAGTCCTCTTCTGTAGAAGACTGTTACCTGTAGGATCTAGTAGTCTTATTTTGGGTGATTGCTTCCTGCTCCTTCAAAGACTTTTTAATTCTGTCATTTCCTGGTCACTGTAACTCAGGCTGTCTTTCAGTTTGGCATTTTCAGTCAAGATCTTTGTTTGCAAGAATCAGCTGCAGCAGCGCTCCTCTCTAGAAACTTGCCCCAAGCATCATTTCTTGGAACTACAGTCTCTGCACTGTGGCTGCTTTTTCTCAATTAAAAGAATCCCACTAAACCCAAGCATAATGCTACAGAAGATGATGTGTGTCATGAAAAGAAATAAAGAAAAAAACCCAAACCCTATCATCACTGATATTTGTAGTTTCAGGGCCAACAGCAGACTTCAGTCATGACAATCTCCTCATTTCCTCTCTCTCCTACCAGTATCCAGTGACACTTGGCAAGTTGATCATCCACTAGACTGTGGGCTTTCATGCATGTTGTTAATATGCATTCATGGCACACACATACATTCTTAGTAAACAAAACCATCCCCCTTCTCTACCTCCAAAATGCGCTTTCCTGTATTAACGTTTCAAGCGTGCAAATTCTCAGATCAAGTCTTTACTATACTAATGATTCATAAAGGCCTTCAAACTCCTTGTTCATTTTTCACTTCCGGCATCCATTCACAGATGTCTAAGAGTTTAGCAGGCTGATCCTCTCTTCTCTTCCCAGCTCCACCTACAACCCTATTGTGAATAACCATCTCTCTTTTCTGCAAAATCTTAGATCTGTCTAGATTACCATTTAATATTCTTATTACAGTCAAATTTTCCCAAACCATCCAGTTTACCATTACAAGCAGTGTTTACCAGTCTTCCTAAGACTTCAGCAGTGTAATTCTGAAAATCCATGTCTCTCTCCTAGCAAGGGTAATGCTCTGTCCTATTGAGAACAAATGTCTATCACCAGGAAGTTCCATTTAAATAAGCTGCTGCAGCAGCACAGCAAATACAGCATATGGTATCAAGAAAAATTTTCTGAATTTGTGCTTTAGAAGTACCAGCACTTAAATATTCCTTACCTTTTATAGTAAAAAGTGGTTGCAGCATAAAATTATAAAATTGATTTATTCTGCTATGTCACTAAACCGCTTCTGAAGCCCCAGTATACTTTCTGCATCAACATCATTTTGAGTTTGAATAAAAACTTCTGACACAAGTACAGCGGCACATGAATCTTCATTTTACTTAGCACAAACCTGTAAGTTCAGCGAGAATTTCTCGAACAGGCACTCCTCGTGCATAGGTAAAGCCATGAGCTCTGTAAGCTGTTATCACGTGGTCTGTAGGCTTTATGGCAACTTCAAGCCCTACACAGCAAGCCTCCTGTTACAAAAGAATAGTAAGCTTATTAGCAAAGAAGAAAAGCACACAGCTTCCACAGTCAGCAGTGTGGCAAGGGCTACCTACGATCCTCCATACATCAAGTATCAGCAGAAAACAGGAAGAGCACAGACACAGGAGATTGCCTTAAACCTCAAGGGGCAGCAGGCCTGGAGCTACCACAGCCTTGGGTTTCAAATTCCAGCCTGATTGTGACTATCAAAAGCAGACAGGAGGGGAACCAGAAGCTGCAAAAATCTGTGGACTTTTTCTACACCCATCTTCCAGATGAAGTATCTAAACAACTCCAATTCAAAAATGGCATGGGGGAATGGACAGACAGCAAAGTTTCACTACATTGGTGAAGTTCCTTCTCTTGGCTTTTTAGTGGGCACGTGACCTACGAAGCACTGGAACAAAATCCATCAATGACGCGTGATGAGAAGGATGTGGGCTCCCAACCATGCTGAACTGAATGTGCTGCAGTTCCCCATTCCTTACGTTCAGTTCATCTACAGCTGCACCTTGCTTTCTCTCTTCCCATTGCTATTCACAAGCCCTCAGGGAATCCCTTGTGTGCTCAGTGTTTTAAAAGAAATAATGAACTAAATCATGAATCCAGCTACAGCTTCAGACATTGTACACAGATACTCAGTTCTAGATTTACTTTCCACTCTATTCAAATCCCTCCATTAAGTGGGGCAAGACCACATAAAACCTCTTGGAAAAAAAAAGTCTCACCTGACCATCATATAAGTGACAGAAGCCACGGATGATCTTCTGCTTGTACAGCTGGTCAGACTTTAACTCCATGCGTCGTATGGTCTGCATGGTCTTGTAGTAATGGAGCCCCTCCTCTCGAGTCATCACTGCTGTGGTACTAGGGCCTTCTTCCAGGCGATGGAGGTCACATTTCTGCAAAGTTGAACAAGTAGTTATTTCCTGAAAGTAGTTCATCCTATTTATGAATATTTTTATATGATGTGCCATTTCAAAATTCAGAGCGTAATACCTTTTTAAAAAAGAAAGCCAGTAAAACCTAAATTCATAGGTCAAAATAACTGTAAGGTTTGTGCGCTATTTCCAAATTCAGGGAAATAAAAAGCTTTACTTTTAATAAAGACAGATTTCCACTCGTGAAATGAAGCCTTGTAGTTCCTACTAGCAGTAGATGATGTACAGTCCTCACAAAATATGGGGAAATAATACATTTCCATGGTAGCTGCAGGCCAAATACTTGGTAAGAGCTACAGAGGCTTAGTGAAGAGAGGAGAAAGACAGGAGTTTCCTTTGTGAAAGTTTGTAAGATCTGGCCCTACGACTGGACCTCACCTCTTCTACCACCACTTCTAACAAGCAGTAAAAAACCACTGCTGCACCAGCCACATCACTATGGGTACAGTACAACTTCTTCCCCAAACTACGGGCTCTACTGAGGGAGGGCTGATTTTAGGCACCCATACGAAATAAACAATAAAAAATAAAAATAATAATAATTTAAAAAAAAAAAAATCGGTCAAGTTCAGTGGAACAGACCAAAAAAATTACTCTGTCAGTGCAGATTAAATGGCCAAAATACTGCTATACAGGTTAAAGACAGTTTATATAAAGCAAGAGTCTCTCCAGAGCAAATCCACTGACGCCTACATGAACTGGATGTAACACATGGGCAGACTACTCTCAGACAGCTCTGTTTCAGAGTTCACATAACAACAGCAACTTAGGAGTCTTGTAATCAACACAGGACCAAACATTAAACCTGGTATTTACTCAGAAAAGGTTTTTCATATAAACATATTTTCCCTCCCTACCACCTGTGATACAATTTTAATACTTTACAGACATGGAGACACAGGGAGTGGGTAGAAGGAAAACCAAATAATGTCTTTCAGATTTTCTTTTATCAATTCCTGAATGAAGACCCAGCACAAATGCTACTGCCAATGGAAGCCACAGTGGAAAGCTGACAGAATATAACACGTTTTTTGAGCAGCACCAAGTCAAGCATTTAAAGGATGCCATATTTTTTCCTCCAAAATCCGTATGGATCTCAATCAGTTGCACATCTGGGATATAGCACCCATGACTCCATAAACAAGAGGGTGATGGAAAGAAGGGTAGGCAACAAATACCAGCTATTTGTTTAAAAACATTAAGGAAACATTAATACTCTTCCCTCAGCACACAAAAGGTTCTTCGCTCCTTTGTGACTCCATTCTCACAGCTGCATTGCAGTATCACAGCTGCAAAGAATCACTACTTCACATTCTTCAGAAACAAGTAACATTACTACATACTGCCAAGCACAGTACTTCCAGCTGCATTTAGAAATCAGGCCAGGTAGTGAGGGGTTTGGTTCTGGAAATTCAAACAGTATGTTTATAATTGAAAAGATAAGGGGGGCAGTCCATCACGTCAAGATCTACAACAAGCGCTTACACGGAATGCCAGCATTAAGCGTTCAGCTTCTTTACCTTAATTTCAAACGTAGCTTCATTTGCAAAGTCTGCATAGTTACGTGATGCTACCATCACTCGAGATGCCTAAAAAAAAGACAAAACCAAAACATGAGCAGTATTTAAATATAATTCTTAAGCAAAAGTAAGTGAATTCTCAAGTAATTCCTAACAGTACTCCCTAATTGAAATAATTTGTGAAATAAACTCACCAGTGATATATCCCTATAACACTAGAGAACTTTTATTTTGTACTATGTGCTAGAAGTCCTTTAAAACCCAGTATTTAAAGTTAAGATTAGAAAAAGAGAACAGATTTTCAAATTTGTAACACCCTTGATTATCTAAAATAAAAACAGTAAGTTTCAAAAGACTGTGAAGAGCATCAAAACCACAAAAATCATTATTTTTCCCTTCACATGCCAGTGCCTATATGAGTAGAGAGCACCAATGCAGGTTTTCACGGTGCTCTCCACTGACTGGAATTTTGCCTCGATAGAACAAAAAGTTTATTTGAAAAATAAAACCCACACCAAAACAAACAAAAAACCCCAAAACCAAAAAACAATCAACGCAGCAGATTTCTGGAAAATGAACTACTTCACTCTTTCTTTTCAATAGAAAGAGAAGTTAGGGGGATGTAAGGCCATAGCAATGAAGAGAGAGAGTATCATTTAAGTGGGTAACAGCACGGCCACTCCTTAAAAAGGATAGAAAAACATAAAAGGTGACATACATGAAATACACAATAACAGAAGGGGAGGCATGGTGGGGGAGAGACAAGAAGCATGTTTAAAAATACATTACTGTTCTGCTTAAAGAATGAACACAGGCTATTGATTAATGAACATCTGGTATTTTTAGATAACTTTAAAGTTTCGCTGCAGCATCAGACAGGATATTCATCTGTCCATGCATGCACTGCGGCCATAGCATGAGGAATCCACTATATCTTTAGTGGCAAAACAGTATTGCTAATTAAGTTATGCATAAATTTCAGTAGCTCATTCAACCATGGAATTTGCATACGTTTAGCTGAAGGTTCATTATTTCAAAATTTTGAGAATGTCCAGGTCACTGTCTCCAAAAAAAAAGGCCTGATGGACAGGTATAAAGCTTGGAAAAAATTCAGGAAAAAATTCTCAATCCATCTTGGTTACCTACTCAGTTGCATATTTGATTTAGCAATCACAATCTCTCCCCTCCCCCTGCCCCATTATCAGATTAAATATTTAAAGTTTTTTCTTTAAACCAAGTTTCTACAGTGTTTATCACAATGCATCAGTATTATCGGTGAGCAAAAGCTATTTTACTTCTACAGGTGGAAGTAAATCACAAATCTGGGATTCACAGTATCACAGAATGGCCAAGGTTGGAATGGACCATCCAGTCCAACCCCCTGCCCTGAAAACAACATAAAAGCTAAAGTTCTAATACATGGCCAGGACACGTGTCAAAAACAAACCTTGACAAAACTGATTCAGGCCTTACCTCACTAACAGCTCCCTAGGTTAGCAGCATTTGGAAGGAAAAAAACAAAAAAAAAAAAAAAAAGGAAAGAAAAAAAGAGTAAGCAACTGTTACAATTAGGGGAAGAGAAGTCAGCAAATTATTAGCCAGCTAGAACACTGTAAAATGTAGTTTCCTTATAGGTAAGCTCCGCATCATGGAAACCCATCTTTACACTTTGCAATATGCTCAAAGTAGGTAAAAAATACTGCTTTATGGATTAAGACTGTTTCTATTTATTTGGTAATTTATACCTTCACTATAAATGCACAGGACCAGTTCAAGACATATACGTACATATTTGGCAAACATTAGGATCCAAAAATCTGTATTGAAATATCAGATCTAGTTTGGACTTTCAGGAAAGTGCAGATGTCAGGAGCCGGCCAAGTACTTCTTGCAGTGAAGAAATAATTTTAGGCATCCACGTTTGAGAATTTTAATATAAATATTTTACTTGTAAATTAGGAAATACTTTTAGATACATATTCCATATAATATAGGCGTATAGTTCCAATAGACATAGGAAGAGCTGCTTTTTTTCACGCAAGACATAAAACACAAGTGAAACACTAATGCCAAAAAAAAAAAACCACTTTAAAGAAAATTCAGGAAGAGATGAAAAGAGACTGTTGCTTGAGCAAAGAAAGACAAAGCAGCTCAAAAAAGGTCAGATGGTTGAATTTAGAATGGGACGAGAAGAGTATGTTTGCCCCCTCTGCTCAGGCTCTGGCCTGCGCTGACAGAATATATATAAATAAAATAAATCAAAGCAAAGGGCCCCGAAAAGGGTTTCGGACATGAATCCGAGCCCCTTACACACAGTAAAAAAATCAAGCGGCAAAGCGA